ACAATGGCTGTTTTTGAATCTACAGTTGTATGTAATATAGAAAGGAGCTCTGGTGAAATAGTGGCTAAGACATTTGTCTGCTAACCAGAAGGTCAGTGGTTCAAACTCACCAGCTGTTCTGAAGGGGGAAGATGAGGCAATCTACTTCTGTAAAGAATTACAGCCTTACAAAACCAACAGGATCACTATGAGTTCGAATTGACTCAATGGCCATGGGTATACACACACACGCACACACATATAGTTACTCTTAAATTAAGACAAATAAATTAGGTAGGCTTAATGGTTGAGATATGGTTCTATAGATCATTTAGATGTGGCTTTTTACTAAGGGACAGATGAATTTAATTTAAAATATTTTTAATTAAATATCATGGTCATTTAAAGGAGTTCTGGTGGTATAGTGCCTAAAGCATTTGACTGCTAACCAGGTTGGTGGTTCAAACCCACCAGCCACTCCATGGAAGGAAGACTGGGCAATCTACTTCCTTAAAAGTTTACCACCTTAGAAACCCAAAGGGGGTCACCATGAGTTGGAATCAACTCAATGGCAGTGCACTGGGTTTTGGTTTGTGTGGTCATTTAAAATGGTGTTGAGTACTTTCATAGAGACTCTTCTATGGAGAATTCTACTAATCATTAAAGAATGAAAGTCTCTAGTTTTCTGCAGCATTATTAACAACAATATAAATATTGCTGATTAAAGCCTCAGTACACATAATCTGGTAGAAGCAATGCCACTACATGATTTTCTGCTTCGAGTCCTTATTTTTCCAGGGAGCAGGAGCCTAGTCTGAGACACATCAGATTATTTCAGTCTCTTTACCCTGGGATTGTACTGTGGCTCTGCGTTGCTTGCGTGGAGGCAAGGTTGTGTGGGTTGCAGAGCTGAGACAGGCCTGAGGACTGCTCTGAGGCACTGCTATCTCTCTAGGTTGGCATCTGCTGGGACTTCATTCTACCCAAATTACTGCATGTGGGCTATGCATTTGCCATGTTTGATATAGATATACTCTTCTATGAACACAGAATGTACTCCTAAACACAGTCTATTAGGTCATAAATTATGTTCTAAGATCAGGTAGACTAAAGAGCAGAAATAGATAACTCACTGCAAACCAATCAACTCACAAATGTACTTTGCTCTTACTCACTCAAAAATATATGTGACTGTAGTAAAGCCCCAGATCACAGTTATATGTACGAATGATCCTTCATACTGTATTATAAAGGTCTTTGTGTGGCATAAACGGTTAAGCACTCAACTGCAAGACCAAAAGGTTGGCAGTTGGAATCCACCCAGAGGCTCTTGAGATGACAGACCTGGCAACCTGCTTCTGAAAGGTCACAGCCTTTAAAGCCCTCTGAGCAGCTCTGCTCTGCACACATTGAGGCCCATGAGTGGGAATCAACCCTATAGCAACTAACAACAGTAACAGTGTATTTTTAAACTTAAGTGAAACATAATGAACAGTTTAAAAAGTGGATAGAGTAGGAAGTAAGACTAAAAAGTATAAAGCCAAAGAAGAGAGGAAAACAGAAAGAATTAGTGAATAAATCAGAGGCTTAATTACAATCAAATTTTAGTGTTACCAGCTTGAGAAAAAACAGGAGGGCTGTTTTCTGGCCATTTGTGTTTATGCCCAAATTCACAGTTCTGTAGCATAAGCATAAACGCCTGCCACACAGGGAGACAGTGCTCCTGTCTCTTTGGCCTGATTTCTTTGCACACTGCGTTTCACACCTTCATGTCCCAGGATAAAAAGATTGTTGTTGTTATTTGCCATTGAGTCGGCCCCGACTCATAGTGACCCCTCCTTGGGTTTCTGAGGCAGTATCACTACGGAAGTATGACTGCCCAACCTTCCTTCCGAGGAGTGGCTGGTGGGTTTGAAGCGCCAGCCTTCTGGTTAGCAGTCAAGTGCCTTAGCCACTATGGTACCAGAGATTAGAAGAAGAAAAAAGACAGAAACCTAAATCACTTCCAGTTAGTAGTGAGAATATATGGGTCTATAATGCATAAGGTTCCTAGGCCTAGCACTTCGAAGTTCCAAGAAACAACCAAGTCATTGCTGTGGAGTTGATTCTGATTCATCACAGCCCTATAGGAAAGAGCTGAACTGCTCCGTAGGGTTTCCAAGGCTGTAAATCTTTACAGAATGAGAATGCCACATCTGTCTCCTGCAGAGTGGCTGGTGAGTTTGAACTCAGATCTTAAGGTTTGCAGCTGAGTGCTTAAGCACTGTGTCAACCAGGGCTGCTTCTTTGAGGATACAGTCCTGGATAGCTGAAAAAACATTCATTTCCCTTAGTTTTAAAAGTTGTTCAGCATTCACACTTTATTAACAATTGAGCATAAGCAAAAAGTGTTTGATAAACACACAAAAGCTGTTTCTCCTCATTAAAGTGGATGACAAGTGAGATCTTACAGCTTCACATCAAATCAGTGGAAAAACAATTATGTGTAAAAAAGTATCTGCAAACATTTTTCCTACAAAGCTAAAGATTCAAGGCAACAGGTCTGGAATGTGTCTCTCCCTTTAGGCCCCCTCCAGTCCACGAAACATCTGTCTCAATTTCCGCTCCTCCTGAAGCCTCCTTTTGGTCTCCCTGCAAATCCATTCCTTCTTAATCTACCTCATTCTGATCCCACAGATGGGAACCGTATGTTTCTCTGTTTGAAGAAGTGAGCCCACTATCCTCACTGGAGATTTTAGGCCATATTTTCTCATATCTTCATGTAGGTTTCCAAGAGCACTAAATACTATATGATCTGCTTTTGGTTTGACTTCATGGCTTTAACTAAACATTAACACATTCGTTGATTCTTCTCAGCAGAATCTAAAGTGAGGCCTAGAGTTGTGAATTAGGTATGTTTTGGAAAAGCAAATTATTATTATTTTTTAAAAGTACACCTTAATAAGTACCTGTTGAGCATTTACTGTACTATAACTTATTATAGGTTCAAAGTGAAAAGGCATCAGTCAGAGTTTACATCCAACTGGTCCAGACAGGTAGGGAATGGTTGGAACTAAGAGAATACAGTGTAGGAAGGTTTGAAATAGAGAGGTGCAGAAACACAGAAGTAGGTACAATTGAGAAAAGTAAACTCACAAAGGAAATTTTAGTATTTCTTGAAAAGAGAATTTTCATTGGTGAAGCAATTATTCCAATCTGTCAAAAGCATCATTAAATAATTTACGTATCTTTAAGTCTCATGACTATCTAAAACATCTGGAAAAAATCTGTAAAATGGACCCATTTTGCATATGAAAGTAATGATTTGCATAACGTTTTCGCAATAAATAATTATAAAGTAAGTTAGGTATCCCTTACTTGTTAGGAACTAAGTAAAGAAGAAGGAGGGGGAACAAGTGTCCACACAGATGTGGTTAAGGGAGAGCCTGGGATTTAGGGGATGACATGAGGACCCTGAATCCCAAAGACTGGGCTCTGGATGTGGCCACCAGTTGGTATTGGGCAGACTTCCTAGCCAAGCTTACAAAGTCTTAAGGAACATAGACATTTCCTAAGTAAAGCAAAGGAACAGACATTGAACTCTCAGGGAGCTAACAGTAAGGGGTTGTTCTAACTGCAAACAGTATTCTTAGAAGCAACAGCTCATTACTTAGAATGTGCAAGTAAGAAAAAAAAAAGGAAATGTAATTTAAAATATCTCTGAAAAAATCATTGAGTACTTTTTCAATCTTACAAATGCTTCCTACTAAGTTTTCTAGGAGCTCTGGTAGCAGAGTGCCGAAGACACTATGACTTGACTGCTAACCAAAAAGCTGGCAGTTCAAACCCACCAGCCACTCCTTGGAAGGAAGTTTGGGCAATCTATTTCCATAGTGATATTGCTTCAGAAACCCAAGGAGGTGTTTCTATGAGTCGGGTCCAACTTGACAGCACATAACAACAAGAAGTTGTCTAAAAGGTCAATTTAAGATATCTATATATTTAGTTGATGAAAAAAAAAAATAGATTTACTGCCATTGAGGTGATTCTGACTCATGGAGACCTTCTTTGGGTTTTTGAGGTGGTAAATCTTTATGGAAGTGGCTGGTGGGTTTGAACCACCAACATTCCGGTTAGCAGTCAAGTGCCTTAGGTACTATGCCACCAGAGCTCCTTATTCTGTTGATAGTGTTTGTTATTCAAATAATATTAAATATTAAACAATATTAAATATTAAACAATATTAAAAATATGTGAGAAACTGCATATGACAATCAAATCACATTGTTGTTGTTGTTAGGTGCCGTCGAGTCAAACCTGACTCATAGCGACCCCTCCTTGGGTTTCCGAGGCAGTATCACTACGGAAGTAGGATTGCCCAATCTTCCTTCCGAGGAGTGGCTGGTGGGTTTGAACCGCCAGCCGTCTGGTTAGCAGGCAAGTGTCTTAGCCACTATGCTACCAGAGCTCCCACATAGTTGTTATTTATGCAACCAGGGCTTCCTCACATGTTATAGTTTAGTAAAAATGACACTTTTCAGTAAAAATTCCACTGAAGGAAGTACAACTTAATGGGAAGGAATAGAACATTTGAATCTGAGAAAATTAGGATTAAAAGGGCTGGAAAATAAACATAAATTTCTCATCAGTTGTTCTTATCTTTAAAGAGAATAAATAGTTTATTGAGGAAGGATCTTTTGAATCTTTCACAATAATAATGCATTCTTGAAATGCTAAATATTCAGAAAACAATATAGATTTTTACAAATCTATAACATGAAAAGGCATAAGGACATTAAAAAGAGCAAGAACACAAAAAAGAAAACAAAAACAAAAACAGGCATTGGAAAAGATCATTAAGGTTTGAGAAGACAAAAACAAGAAACACATGTGCCCTCCCAAGCAAGCAGGCCCTTGTCAGTGTGTTGAACTTCAGAGCAGGAATGCCCTCTTGTGGCAATGATAGATATACTTTAAATTTGTGTCATTTCCCCACTTGGTAATGAAAAAGGCTGCCTGATGCAACTCTGCTTCTTTCTCAGATTGAAATAGGGACAGTGGTGCCTTCAGGGAACAAAGAGCTCCTGACCCCACCACCATTGCCTAAGGAAGAGGACGGTGAAGAGGAGGAGGAGTCCACCCCCAGGCTGATCGATGGCTCTTCTCCACAGGAGCCTGAGTTCCCTGGTGTTTTGGGCCCCCACACCAATGAAGGTCGAGTACATCAAAGCCGAATTGTAATTAAGTCCTCTTGCACATCCCTCAAAACTGCCAACCTCTAACTTCACAGGGAACCAGCATGATACAAAGAAAAGTTCTGGAAGAAACTAGGTTTGAAGCAGGAGATGTACATGCATTTTTTATTCAAATATAAAGCGGTATTAATAACTCATCCTTGGTTTGATTATATATATATATATATATATATATAAAACCTAAAGATTTGTGATGAAAATATTTGTCTGGCATGCTTATGCAAAATCTTTGTTGTGGAATATACTCCTAGCAAAACAATAAGCTTCTAGGCCTCTGAGATCAGGGCACAGCAGCTCAGAGTGATGATGATCAAGGTGAGGATCATGTGGATGGGAGTAATATTTTACACTGATTGAGCACTTACTGTCTGTGAGCCATGATGTTCAGCAGTTCACATTACCTTTTTGACTATTACAACCTCCCTGAGAGGGAGTTAAGGAGCTCTAGTGGTGGCAGTACTTAAGGCATTTGACTGTTAATCAGAAGGTTGGTAGTTCAAACCCACCAGCCACTCTGCATAAAAAGATGTACCGCCTTGAAAACCCAATGGGGGTTGCTATGAGTTGGAACCCACTCGATGGCAGTGGGTGTGGTTTGGTGTTATTTTTGGACATGGGGTGGTAGGGGGGTGGGGGAGGGAGTTAGTAATCATATATCTATCAGTTCTGCAACCTGCACCGGGAACCAGCTCCCTCTTACTGGAAAACAGGCGCTTAGTCCAAGGAAGCAGCAGGGAGAGGCAGAGAGAGGAAAGCACCCATAACTTGAGGCTCCGATTTAAATGGCCTGAAGATGCATCTAAATTAGAGCCTTTTAGTTAATGAGAAGAAACTCCTAGTGCCAGATGTGATTCTATGAATTTCCTTTCTTTCTTTCTTTCTAGAATTTGTTAATGTTAACCTTGGGGATACTCAGGTAGCACTCAGCCTGGAATACTTTTGCACACATGGAGAAAGACACAGTGAAAAGATGTTGAAAAATGATCACAGTTTCCACTGCCAAAGTTTTATTAGTACTAAGTGTCTCTATACTCCAGATTCTGAAGATACAAAACAGATTTTCAAATGGCCACTGTTCTCAGGGATCTTTACGCCTAGTACAGGGAGTCAGACAGGTCAATAAATTTAGAGGCACTAAAGTCCTTGGAAGGAAGGTTGGGCAATCTACTTCTGTAGTGATACCACCTTGGAAACCCAAGGAGGGGTCGCTAGGAGTCGGGTCCAACTTGACAGCACATAACAACAACAGCAACAACTATGGACTATAGGTATTATAAGTCTGTATAGAATATACTGGGGAAATAAAAGTGAGAGGAGAGCAAGATAGTGTAGAAGTCTAAGAGCACCCTTAACTGAAGGGTTTGCAGTTCAAACCAACCCATCATGTCACAGAAGAAAGGCCTGAGGATCTGCCTCTGTAAGACTGCAGCCAGAAAACTCAAGAGAACTCGGTCCAACTCTGTAAGACACAGGGTCATTAGGAGTCTGATTGGACTTAACATCTTGGGTTTTGGTTTTGGATTTTTGAACTAGGAACAAGGGCATAGGTGTAAAAACAGAGTGTCTTGGAGCAATTAAGCATCCGTATCAATCCCTGCTCTGCCATTTGCTGCATTTACGGTATTGAGCAAGACATTTAATCTTTTTATGCCTCATCTAAAAAATGGAATAACAAATAATAAAACCTACATGGATGATCTGTGAGGACTTAATGAATGACTAGTGCTTGGCCCATAGTATGCCATACCAAAACACAAACTCGCTGCCATCAAGTGGGTTCTGACTCATAGTGAACCCCATTGACTTGTTGAGGTTGTAAATCTTAGGGAAGGAGACTGCCTCATCTTTCTTCCACAGAATGGCTGGTGGGTTCGAACTGTTGACATTTTGGTCAGCAGTCAAATGCCTGAACACTATACCACCTGAGAACCTTATAGTTAGTTAATATCAATATCCTACTATTAATGGAGGAGTTTATTCATCATAACTGTGCACTAGCTCTTTGAATAGTCCCACCAACACTATGTATTAGGTACTATTTTACCCATTTGATAGAAAAACTGAAATTGGAACATCCTATCCAATGTGTCCAGGATCACAGAAGTGGTATATAGTGGTGGAGTATATTGCCCAACCTTCCTTCTGAGGAGTGGCTGGTGGGTTTGAACCTCCAGCCTTCTGGTTAGCAGTCAAATGTCTTAGGCACTAGGCCACCAGAGCTCCCTCCCAGGATGCAAAGAAAGACCACTAAATCCTTAGGCAATATCTTTAAGGAGTCCTTCATACTGTTTCCATATAGTTACACTTCTGTGAAGTACTCGAACATGCTATCAACAGAATCAAGAAGACAGACACACGACATGATAAGCAAATAATTATAGCATTGAAAACTTCCAAAATAGGAAAAGTACATATCTTAAATATCCTTTTAAGTAATTTCAGATCCTCCAAGTGTTGAATGGTTTGGTACTGACAATCATACTTGGAAATTTTTAGCATAGCCAAGAACAACCGTGAAGCATAACGTCCGATCATTTAAATAAGATGTGTTTTTAAAGTTTTAGTCCAAATCACGGCTCAATTATGTCAATTTTGAAACAACATAAAAACTAAGACTTCTTTTTTGTTTAAATTGTATCTCTAAAATAGTAAGATGATGAATAATGAAGTTAAAACTTCAATTCTCATTTTAATTTCCACATGAGAAGCACCTGTGGAAATTTAAAAATGAAATTTAAGTGTCATGAATTCATCAGAGGTAGTTTGGTGATATTTAATACATTAGAAATAAAAATATATTTCTGCTAGTAACACAATTCTTTTAAACCATATGCTGAAGCCATATAATGTAGGCTTGAATGGACAAATTAGAATGAAATTACAACTGGTGTGAATTTATAAAAATTATCCTAAACAATTATTGCTAAATTAGTAAGGTTATGAATATACAGAAGAATCAAATGCCTTCCTTTTTAAAGTTGTATGATAAGTGAGAAATGTTCATTTACAGTGACTGAGGACATTATAGGTCTCCCTTATACAGCCTGGCCTACTCTTACTTTCCTAGTTCTGTAATTAACTCCTTCCTTTCCTGCAGGTCTCAGGTCAATTATCACCTCTTCAGAGAACCTTTCCATGACTCCAAGACTGGGTCACATTCCTCTATTTAATGCTCATTTAGTTCTCATGACACTTACACAGTCATAATTTTTATTTATTCATGTATTTAATTAACAACTATATCACATAGTAGTTTATGAAATAGGACTGGGGCTCCTTTTGCTCACCACTCTTTCACCAGTTAGCCTGGTGCCATTTACCTAGAAATGATTAATGTATTGAGTAAATTAATATTAATTAAAATTAGTTTTGTGCTACATTTTTCTTTTATCTGATTTTCTTTAAGTGGGGGTGTTTAAAAATTAAACTAAAGTCCTATCCTAATTAAATATCACGTGTATCATTTTACCCACAAGGTTAATATTTATATCTGGAAAAGCTATTTTCTAATAATAAAATTAGTGATAATACTATAGCCACATAAGAACTTAAAATGTTAAAACATTGCAAAGAATATGCTAATTGTTGAAGCACTTTGATATATTTGACTTAAATATTCCATTTACAGAAAATTATATGAATAATATGCCAGAATACTTTATGTGAATCTTACTTATCAAATATACTTAACTGCATTATTTCTTATAAATTGTTTTTGTTATTTACATATAATTATGTGCCTCTATCTTTTAGACTTTCCTACCTGCCTTCTGTGTGCTTGTATAAGTACCACCGTATACTGTGATGACCATGAACTTGATGCTATTCCTCCACTGCCCAAGAATACTGCTTATTTCTATTCCCGCTTTAACAGAATTAAAAAGATCAACAAAAACGACTTTGCAAGCCTAAGTATGGATGATAATATTAAGATCCCTTTCTTCCTTACATACTTATGTTGGTACTAAGAATGAAACACATGCCAAAATATAGTTCATGAATCATTTTTTTCCTTATTTAGAAATGTGCTTTAATGATGATCAGAATGCACAACACATGATTAGAAAGTTAATAATGAAACTAAGCATATAGCTGTTATTATTTTCAATTTAACTATTTTCAACTAAGTTTTCAACATTAAAAAACCAGACCAAATGCACTGCTGTGGAGTCAACTCTGACTCATAGAGACCCCTCCTTGGGTTTCTGAGGTGGTATCTCTACAGAAGTAGATTGCCCAGTCTTCCTTCCAAGGATTGTCCGGCGGGTTTGAACCGCCAGCCTCTGGTGAGCAAATGCCTTAGGGACTACGACACCAAAACTCCTTTCAACTAAGTAGAAATCATAAATAATTTATGGGGCTAAATTTTATTAGCATGGCATTAAGAGTGAGTATAGAACAAAATATCATTTACACAGTTAATACAGGATTTGCCTTTCTTGAATAAATTCTCGTTAAACTGCAATTGCTTTATGATTAGTAACATAAGCCTAAAATCAAATTAGGATTTTTACCAACTTAAAAAAAGAATTTGGGTACTTTTATTTACTATGCATGAAGTATTTTATTCATTTGAAGATAATTCTTTAACGCCTATATCATTGACAGGAGTTCTGTTAGCATAGTGCCTAAGGCACTTGATGGCTAACCAGAAGGCTGGCGGTTCAAACCCACCAGCCATGCCTTGGAAGGAAGATTGGGCAATGTACTTCCATAGTGATACCACCTCAGAAACCCAAGGAGGGGTGGGGTCGCTATGAGTTGGGTCTGACTTGATGGCACATAACAACAGCAACAACATATCGTTGATTATCAGAAAATACAAAAATCTACCATCACTGAAAAAAATGTTTTAAATAGTAAAATTCAGATAGTGTATAAAAAATATGAGAAAGATACCAATTATGTCTCAATTTCTTTGGTAGAGTTACACTTTCTAGTAATTGCATAAACATGAATCCTACCTGGAGGAAACAATACATTTTAAATAAAATAGTTCAAAATAATTATTTCATTAACTGGGCATTGATAATTAAATTTCTATTTCTACTTGCTTTTACATGAGAAATTTTATACTGATATTTATTTTCACTTGACCATATAATAGTCAAGAATATTTAACTATCCCCTTCATTTTCTCTCCTAGGTGATTTAAAAAGAATTGATCTGACATCAAATTTAATATCTGAAATTGATGAAGATGCATTCAGAAAGCTGCCTCAGCTTCGAGAGCTTGTCCTGCGAGACAACAAAATAAGGCAGCTCCCAGAACTGCCAAACACTTTGATGTTTATTGATATTAGCAACAATAGACTTGGGAGAAAAGGGATAAAGCAAGAAGCATTTAAAGTAAGTTTTAAGCTTGGATATAAAAGAAAGACTTTCATCTCATTTTATTAACTGTCAATGAGCAGCCTTTTTATTTATGTAATTCAGATTGGTGAGATGTTTAACTCCTAAAATAAACCACATGACTCTATTTAGTATGCTTTGCAGGAAATACTGTATTCTAGTAAATTCTGAGGGTAGTCAAGTCCCAAGAATGGAAAGCAGAGTTGGGCTAAGAAGTGGGTGGCTACCAGGTGCACTGTATAAGAAGCATAAGGAAATGGTGTAAGCCAGAGAATTCTTTTTTTTTTTTGTCAAGAATTCTGCTTAGGGAAAGTAATCTGTGTGGTTAAAAGGATAAATGCCTAGTGAGCTCTGGTAGCATAGTGGCTAAGACACTTGCCTGCTAACCAGACGGCTGGCGGTTCAAACCCACCAGCCACTCCCCGGAAGGAAGGTTGGGCAATCCTACTTCCGTAGTGATACTGCCTCGGAAACCCAAGGAGGGGTCGCTATGAGTCGGGGCCGACTCGACGGCACATAACAACAACAACAACAAATGGTGTGGATAGTATCCTGACAACTAAGTTAAACAATGACAACAACAACAAAGGAGGTCTAGTGGTGCAGTGGGTAAGGCATTTGACTGCTAACCAGAAGGTTGGTGGTTCAGAACCCACCAGTTGCTCTGAGGAAGGAAGATGGGGGCAATCTACTTCTGTAAAGATTTACTATGTTGGAAACACAATAGGGTTGATTATGACTTAGAATTGACTTGATGGCTGGGGTAAGCTAACTTATAAATCAGATAGGTTGTTAATCTTAAAGCTTTTTAAGCGCAGGAAACAAGTCTGGAGACAGGCTCATTTTCTTGAAACAACAGCATGTTGTTGTTGTTGTTAGGTGCCGCTGAGTTGGCTAAGACTCATAGTGACCCTATGTACAACAGAACAAAACACCTCCTGGTCCTGCATCAGCCTCACAATCCTTGCTATACCTGAGCCCATCTTTGCAGACACTTTGTCAATACATCTCATTAAGGGCTTTCCTGTTTTTCACTGAACCTCCACTTTACCAATCATGATATCTTCCCCCAGGGAATGGTCCCTTCTGACATTACCAAAGTAGGTGAGATGAAATTTGGCCATTCTTACTTCCAGGGAGCATTCTGGCTGCATTTGTTCCAGGACAGATTTGTTTATTCTTTTGTCCACAGTAATTTCAATATTCTTTACCAACACCACAACTCAAAAACATAAATTCTTCTTCAGTTTTCCTTATTCACTGTCCAGCTTTCATATGGATATAAGGCGATTGAAAACACCATGGATTGAGTTAGGCACACTTTAGTCTTCAAAGAGACATCTTTGCTCTTCAGCACTTTAAAGAGGTCTCTCTGATGGTGTAGTGCCAAAGGCATCTGACTTCTAACCCGAAGGCTGGCGGTTCAAACTCACCTGCCTTGGAAATCCAAGGAGGGGTTGCTATGAGTCAGATCCTACTTGATGGCAATGAGTTTGGTTTGGTTTTTCGTTTGTCCAGTGCAAATACATCATCTGATTTCTTGACTGTTGCTTCCATGGGTGTTGATTGTAGAACCAAGTAATATGAAATCTTTGACAACTTCAATCTTTTCTCCATTTATCGTGATGCTGTTTATTTGTCCAGTTGTGAGGATCTTTGTTTTCTCTGTAATTGAGGTGTAATCCATACTGCAGACTGTAGTCTTTAATCTTCATCAGTAAGCACTTCAAGTCATCTTCACTTTCAGCAAGCACGGTTATATCATCTGCTTATCACAGGTTGTTAATGAGTCTTGCTCCAATCCTGATGCCTTATTCTTCTTCATACAGTCTAGCTTCTTGAATTATTTGCTCAGCATACAGATTGAATAAGGGTGGTCAAAGGATCCAACGCTGACACACTACTTTCTTGATTTTAACCCATGTAGTATCCCCTTGTTCAGTTTGAACGACAGCCTCCTGGTATATGCACAGGTTCCTCATGAGCACAGTTAAGTTTAAAACAACAACGTAGAGTCTGAAAACAGTCAACAGAATTTCCAATCCACTAAGATTCCATTAAGGAGCTCTGGTAGCATAGTGCCTAAGGCACTTGACTGTTAACCAGAAAGCTGGTGGTTCAAACCCACCAGCCACTCCTTGGAAGGCAAATTGGGCAATCTACTTCCTGGAGATACCACCTTAGAAACCCAAGGAGGGGTTGCTATGAGTCGGGTCCAATTCCACAGCACATAACAACTACAACACAACAAGATTCCATTCAAGTTGCTTTTATAAAGCAACAGATAGTTTTCAAACAATATTTGAAGGGACTGTACATTATTTTCCTAGAGGCCACATATCCTAATCTGGTTTGGGTGAAAAGGGAATGAAAATTCAGGTATAGTAGTGCCTAAGGCACTTGACTGCTAACCAGAAGGCTGGAGGTTCAAACCCACCAGCCACTCCTCGGAAGGAAGATGGGGCAATCTACTTCCGTAGTGATACTGCCTTGGAAACCCAAGGAGGGGTTGCTATGAGTCGGGTCCAACTCCATGGCATATAACAACAACAATGACGTTCAGCTATTAAAAGGTTAAAGCCTGTATCTTGCCATGGCTGAGGCATCATAGGTGGAAATGACTAGGACAAAAAGTTAGCAGGTTTATACCACATGGCTCTCATTCTTACATTACCCACATCTACCATCAAAGTTATCACCTCTACCAATTTATGACATTTTATATGTTTTCATAAATTCTGGAGGTTTTTTGAAGACAGACAACTGTATCTTGTTTCCATTTGCATGTACCATGATTTAAAAAGCCTGGCATATAATATTGGCAAACACATATAGCATTTAGAATGCGTGCCAAGCATTAATTCAAGTACTTCACATTTAATAACTCTGTAATCCTTACCATCACATCTTGTGGTTGAATTATTATGACCACCATTTTACATATGAAAAAACTGAGACACAGAATGCTTAATTCACTTTCTCTATGTCTTACATTGCTGTTGTTGTTAGGTGCCATCGAGTAGGCTCCAACTCATAGTGACTCTGTGTACAACAGAATGAAACACTGCCCAGTCCTGTGTCAGTCTTACAATACTTGGTATGCCTGAGCCCATCATTGCAGCCACTGTGTCAATCCATCCCATTGAGGGCCTTCCCCTTTTTCGTTGACCCTCCACTTTACCAAGCATGGTATCCTGCTCCAGGGAATGGTCCCTTCTGACATGACCAAAGTAGGTGAGGCGGAGTCTGGCCATTCTCATTTCCAAGGAGCATTCTGGCTGCACTTCTTCCAGGACAGATTTGTCAGTTCTTTTGTCAGTCCACAGTACTTTCAGTATTCTTTCCCAATACCACAACTCAAATGCATCGATTCTTCTTTGGTCTTCCTTAGTCATTGTCCAGCTCTCACATGCATATGAGGTGATTGAAAATATCATGGCTTGGGTTAGGTGCAGCTTAGTCTTCAAAGAGACATGTTTGCTCTCCAGCACTTTAAAGATATCTTTTACAGCAGGTTTGCCCAGTGCAGTACATCATCTTATGTCTTGACTGATGTTTCCATTGTTGACTTTGGAACCAAGTAACAGGAAATCTTTAACAATTTCAATCTTTTCTCCATTTATCATGATGTTGCTTATCGGTCCAGTTGTGAGGATTTTTGTTTTCTTCATGTTGAGATGTAATCCCTACTGCAGACTGTAGTCTTTGATGCTCATCAGTATGTGCTTCGAGTCATCCTCACTTTCAGCAAACAAAGTTCTGTTGTCTGCATATCACAGATTGTTAATGAGTCTTCCTCAAATTCTGATGCCACATTCTTCTTCATATAGTACAGCTTCTCAGATTGTTTGCTCAGCATAGAGATTAAATAAGTATGGTGAAAGGATATGACCCTGACACACTCCCTTCTTGATTTTAAACCATGCAATATCCCCTTGTTCTGTTCAAATAACAGCCTGCTGTGTTGTTGTACCTATGTACAGGTTCCTCATTAGTACAATTAAGTGTTCTGGAATTCCCATTCTTCTCAATGTTATCCATAATTTATTATGAGCCACACAGTCAAATGCTTTTGCATAGTCAGTAAAATACAAATAAACATCTTTCTGGTATTTTTTGCTTTCAGCCAAGATCCATCTAACACCAGCAATGATATCCCTCATTGCACATCCTCCTCTGAATCTAGCTTGCGCTTCTGGAAGTTCTCTGTCAATATACTGCTGCAACTGTTTTTGAATTATCTTCATCAAGATTTTACTTGTGTTTGATATTAATGATATTTTTTGATAATTTCTCCATTCTGTGGGATCACCTCTCTTTGGAATGGGTACAAATATGGATCTCTTCTGGTCAGTTGGCCAGGTAGCTGTCTTCCAAATTTCTTGGCATAGACAAATGAATGCCCACAGCATCTGCCTGTTGAACCGTCTCAGTGAGTATTCCATCAATTTCTGGATCTGTGTCCTTTGCCAATTCCTTCAGTGCAGCTACACCTTCTTCCTTCAATACCATTGGTTCTTGATCATATACCACCTTCTGAAATGGATGAACATCAACCGATTCTGTTTTGGTACAGCGACTCTGTGTATTCCTTCCATCTTCTTTGATGTTTCCTGTATCGTTAAATATTTTGCCTATAGAAACTTTCAGTATTGCAATTTGAGGCTTGAATTTTTTTCTTCAGTTCTTTCAGAAATTCTTGAAAAATGCTGAGCATGTTCTTCCCTCTTCACTTTCTAACTCCAGGTCTTTGCACATTTCATTATAATAACTGCCTTTGTCTTATTGAGCTGCTCTTTGAAATCTTCTGTTCATCTCTTTTATCTTGTCATTTCTTCCATTTGTTTTAGCTACTCTCCATTCAAAGGCAAGTTTCAGAGTCTCTTCTGACATCCATTTTGGTCTTTTCTTCTTTTCCTGTCTTCTTCTTATTCTTCTTATTGTGCTTTAGGTGCAAATTTACAGAGTTTGTTTTACAGTCAACATTTCTTATACGTTTTGTTTCACTCCCCAGTTACCATCCCCAACCCTAACCCACTCTCCTCCCCTCCCTTATCAGTACCCTCTCCCCCATGTCCCTCATAGTTATGCCTTCCTGTGTGTCCTGCATTTCCTCCATGACAATGTTGCCCCTCTGGTCCCCGTGGTCAATTACTCCACAGGATGCATCTCCATAGAGTATATGTGCATCATTCTGGGTTGAGTGGTCTGTGTGTACATCTTGTTTACTATTGGACTGAGAGCCAGCCCCTGGGAGTGAGTTTTATTCCAGGCCTGAAGTGTATCCCAGGGCCATAGTATTGGGGGTCCCACCAAACTCCATCTGACCAGTAATTCTGGTCATTATTGTGTTTTTGGATTTTGTTCCTCATTTTTCCTCCCACTCCATCCAGGATCTCCAGTGTTGATCCTTTCCTAAGTGGTTGGGATTGGTAGCCTGGCACCAACTAATTCTTCTGGTTTTGAGGTCCTTCATGTCCTAGGGCTGATTGCTTTCAAATGTTCTTGGTTTTTCACACTCTTGTTTGCTTCCGATGCTTGGAGATCATTAGCTGCATCTTAGATGGCCACTTGAAAGCTTTTAAGACACCAGTCACTACTCATCAATGCAGGTTATGAAACAAGACTTTTATGTGTTTTGTTATGCCAATTGAGTCTGATGTCCCCCAGTATTATGGTCCTGAGTTGACAGATCATTATATCTCTCTCCCACAGTGTCTGGCTGTCTGTAAGTTATTGCTCTATGTCTGTCTTCTGCTGTTTCTGTAAGGATTCCTTTCTTATCTTTTTAATGACCTTTTGCTTTCTTCATGGATGATGTTCTTCTTGATGTCATCCCATAGTTCCTCTGGTTTTCGGTCATTGGTGTTAAATGCATCAAATCTATTCTTTAGTTGGTCTCTAAAGAGGGATATAATCAAGATCATATTTTGGCTTTCTTGGACTTCTTTTAATTGTCTTCAGCTTCAACTTGAACTTGCATATGAGCAGTTGATGGTCTGTTCCACAGTCAGTTCCTGGCTTTGTTTTGGCTGAAGATAGTGAGATTCTCCATCACCTCTTTCCACAGATGTAGTTAATCTGATTCCTGTGTACTCCATCTGGTGAAGTATATGTGTATAGCTGCAATTTATGTTGTTGAAAAAAGTTATTTGCAATGAATAAATCGTTGGTCTTGCAAAATTTTATCATGTAATCTCCAGTATTATTTCTATCACCAAGGCCATGTTTCCCAACTACTGGTGATTCTTCTTTGATTCCAACTTTTGCATTCCAATCACCAGTGATAATCCACACATCTTGATTGCATGTTTGGTCAATTTCAGACTACAAAAGTTGGTAAAAATCTTCAATTTTCTCATCTTTGGCTTTGGTGGTTGGTGTGCAACTTTGAATAATGGTAGTATGAATCAGTCTTCTTTGTAGGTGTATGGATATTATCCTATCACTGACAGCATTGTACTTCAGATTAGATCTGGAAACATCCTTTGTGATGATGAATGCCACACCCTTCTTTTTTAATTTGTCATTCCTAGTATAGTAGATCATATGGTTGTCTGATTCAAAATGGCCCAAACCAGTCCATTTCAGCTCATTAATGCCTAGGATATTGATCTTTATACGTTCCATTTTATTTTTGACAACTTCCAATTTTCCTAGATTCATACTTCATACATTCCTCATTCCAGTTATTAATGGATGTTTGCAGCTGTTTCTTAGTCAATGACAAAGTCAGAGTTTGAACTCCAGTGGTTTGTTCCAAAGTTACTAAATTCTTTGAATCACTACACTATTCTAGTGTTTTGTTATTCCTATTGTTTTGTTATTTTTTAAAGAAAAAATAAAAGAGGAAGAGTTGTATTGCTGCTCTTCTGGAGTCTTCTGAATTATTTTGATGTTTGCTAGTTGTACTTCCTTGAGTTAATTCAGTCATTGGAAGGGGACCTGAATCTTTAGGGTGCTGTGACCATCAGAATCAGGAGCCTTCCTTCACTCTGTTTTTCTTATCTATGTGGAGGCCAGTTGTTTATACAATTCTTTCCTCATCTAAGCTCAGATTTTAAGTTTCTTTATCCATCCAGGCCTTCGTATGAGAAAACAGAGCTGTAGTATCTTCCTGTAAACCCCAATTCTAACTTACCTATCTATAAATTTCTTCTACATTTTCTCATTCAAACTCCAAAGTCACTGCCATTGAGTTGATTGCATCTCACCATGACCCCCATTTGGTTTCCAAAGCTGTAAATATTTACAGAAGCAGATTCCCCCATCTTCCTTCTGCAGAACAGCTGGTGGGTTCAAACCACTGATCTTTTTTTGGGTTGCAGCCAAATGTCTTAAATACTACACCACCAGAGACCCTTTCTAGCCTTGCTTAATCTCCTACTTTTATCAGTTTTCATTTCTTCATTCCTATAGAAAGAAAGAAAATTCTTGTGATGCCTCACAAAGATCCCCAAAATCCTATACTAAAATGTAAAAAGCAGATTCCTTGCTTAAACTGAGAAAGAGTGGAGAAAGAAACATTCTTCTTGACATTGAGAAACAATTTTCAGCTTCATGAAGAAATATTTGCCAACCGCCAAGGATTCCAAAACTCATTTGAATTATCTAGTAACCAAGAGCATTAATCTACCCCACCTTTATAAAATAAGAGCTGGCTGGGTATAAGTTATTTTACAAATATTGTCTGTGTATAGAATGGAAGTACAACTGAGGCATCCATAACTTCTGCTAAGCTCCTATGTTTGGAATATTTATAGGATATGTATGATCTCCATCATCTCTACCTTACTGATAACAATTTGGACCACATCCCTCTGCCACTTCCAGAAAACCTACGGGCCCTTCACCTCCAGGTAAGCTTTCACCAGTAAGACATGCTTCATGGAAAAACAAAACTGAACAGGAAGAAGTCCAAAACACAAACAGCTGTTTTCACATACCATGACATTTTTTCCCTTATTTTTCTTCTCTCTCTTGTTCATTTTCTCTCACAATCTGGGTACATGGTATATTGGCATTCATGGTCCTACCTACTCTGGTCAGTTTCTGACAACCATAGCCTTTGTTATCCTATTTTTTGCTAAACAATGAAATTATTTTGAAAAGAAATTTCCACCTGCTGAATAAATTTGTGGGGAATAGAAATAGAAGGGAAAAAAGAGAGAAAGAAAGGTCTAATTTGATTTTTAGCTTTCAGAGAAAAATACAAATCCTAGCTATTCATTTTAGGTTAGAAGTAGTGAATTAAGTTCAAGCCTAGGACATTCTTATCTGCTGAGAAATAATAAACATCCATCTTTCTGGATTTAGAAAATGTAAATTTTTTCAAAATTAACGTATTTGAGAACATGGGTTGTTTTAATTCTCATTAAACTACAGTTTAGTTTTGAAATTACGTGTAAAAACCTAGTTTCAATAATCCTGAGAATTCAACAGTTTCTAAATCTATTTAACTTTTCATCAGTGATTAAAATAAGCTTAATTAAATAAATATTTAATTTTCTTAAAATGCTTTTTAAAATGGAGAAATATAAATTATTTTTTATTTCATATGTAACTATTGGCCTACAACTATAATGAATTTTTTGCAATAATTTCATCTGTTCTGTGCTATAAGACTGTGTATCACTATGTGAATCTATATATTCCTTATGTTCTCATTATAATATGTGCTCAAAGCAATATTATAGTTGTTGTTGTTGTTGTTATGTGCCGTGGAGTCAAACCCGACTCATAGCGACCCCTCCTTGGGTTTCCGAGGCAGTATCACTGTGGAAGTAGGATTGCCCAACCTTCCTTCTGAGGAGTGGCTGGTGGGTTTGAACCGCCAGCCGTCTGGTTAGCAGGCAAGTGTCTTAGCCACTATGCTACCAGAGCTCTCAATTGTTTAGCAAAAACATGCAAATTATTACAAGAAGTGATTTTACTAAATCAGAGCAGGTCTCTGATTCATGTTTTTCCCTGCTGTTAAATGTGCAGCTCTGTGCTTTTTCTTTTCATCCTATTAATATGTATTTTTTTTTGCACTTTTTGACATCGTTTTGGGTATATCATCTATCTATGACTTTTGGATAGCTGTCTCTCCTGAGAGTTTTTCTGAATATGTTTCTTTCTCTTAATGTCTCTGTACTTTCTAGTCTACACTGTTTATGGATGGCTCTCTCTTGATCTTTCTGTTTCTAGCATCCAATTTCTGGCCTTGTTTGTGATGGGAGGGAAGATTTTCAGGGAATCCTTAAAGAAATTTTGGAACAAGTGTTCCAATTATGAATTAAATTTCTTTATTTTTATCTGTGAAAATGTTAACCCTATAAAGTAAGTATGCCTCTCTTAATTTGCATATTTTAATGCTTTCTTTTTTTTTTTTTTTAAATCCCCTTCCTTGATTTCATTTGAAAAGTGTTTTTCAACATTGGTGTATAAACAATATATAGTAATTAAGTATGAGGGTGCTAGTGAAAATAGATTTCCTGGGCTTAAATTAATGCACAAATTTAAAAACCTCCCTGCACTAGATTTCTCATCTGTAAAAAAGGGATAGTCTTCTTCTTAGGATGGTTGGGAAGATTAAATAAGATAAACTTTATGAAGTAGGTAGTTTAGTTCCTCATTTATGATAAGCACTTATATGTGAGGAACACATATTATAAATTACAGGCATGTATTTGCTGTTAAAGGGAAGCAAATAGACATTAAATCTGTGATATTCCTCATCTTCCTTATTTATTTATGCTTGCTACTTGAGTTCCATTTCCTTTTTGCACTTGTAGCCAGAGTATTAAAAGGAATTTAGAGAGTAACCAGCTCATCCTCTTCCTGTTTACAATGAAAGGTCAAATGGCTTGGTTAAGACTACATGGAAGGCATTCATGCTTTTATCTAGGTATGCCTTCTTTGGCAAGACCTTATCTAGAAAATTCTTGGTCATTTTTCAAGAGCCAAGCATTTTTATACGTATGAAACCTTTCTAAATCTACATTCCCTCCCCACCCCCCCAAAAAAGATATCTGTCTTATATTATTGTTGGACTTAAACAAATTTCCACCATGAAATATGTCTTCCTACATAGTTCAATTGTTTGTTCAAATAGCTTGTATCACCTGCTCTGTGAGCTATTATAATGCAATATTAACATATCATTATTATCATTATTATTGCTCATTGCACTTTCTCAGCTAGAACCACCTATTTTACAAATTATATAATTTCTGACACTCCTGAAGCTGTTCTTGGCTCCTGTCTGTTGTAAAAGAGAATTGCATAAATAAGTCATTAAAAAATTAGGCAAATATACTCACGACCATATATAAGTTTGGAAGCTGATATTTCTACATACATATTTGTATATGCTGTAAGAATGTCCATATATATATAGAACTCACAGGGGGCAAATTTACAATAACTTCTTAGCCACAGCCAACCAACCTGAGAGAGCAAGTTTTGGGGCCTGTGGGCTTGGGACCATGGTCACAGGGGACATCAAGCTCAATTGGCATAATACACTGCATAAAAACATTGTCCTACAACTTATTTTAGTGAGTAGTGACTGGGATCTTGAAAGCTTGCAAGCGACCATCTAGATGCAACAAAGAAAAGTGAAGAAAACCAAAGATGAATGGAAACAACTAGTCCAAGGGACTAATGGACTATGTGAACCACAGTCTACATGACCATGAAACCAGAAGAACTAGGTGGTGTCTGGCTATCACAGTCAACCACTCAGAAAGGAATCATTGTAGAAGATCCTGGATAGAGTGGGAGAAATATGTGTAACAAAACTCAAAATCATAAAAAAGACCAGGCTTACTGGTTGATAGAGTCTGGTGAAGTGCCCAAGACGATGGCTACTAGTCGCCCTTCAGGCCTGAAATGGAACTCATTCCCATGGCTTCCAGGCAAAAAATAGGCAGGCATATAAGGTGAACACAGCTAGGTACACTCCTTAGAAATAGCAAGCATGGGAGATCAGAAGGGCAGCATTTGCACAAAGGCAGAAGGCAGGAATGCATAGGAAAGAAGGACACAGGGAAAATGTAACCACAGGGAGGAAATGGGAAGAGAGCTGTTACATTATGGAGATTGCAGTCAATGTCATGAAACAAAATGGGTATGAACAACTGTATGGAAAATCAATTTGCTCTGTAAACTTTCACCCACATCACAATTTAAAAAAAGAAAAGTCAGGTTAATAGACTGACAGAATAAAAATATATAATTACTGCTAACCAGAAGGCTGGCAGTTCAAACCCACCAGCCACTCCTTGGAAGGAAGGTTGGGCAATCTACTTCGGTAGAGATACCACCTCAGAAACCCAAGGAGGGGTTGCTATGAGTTGGGTCTGACTCAATGGCACATAAAAAACAACAATATACTGGAAGCAGAGCACATCCCTAAGGCAGCTACTCAGCTGTTCAGAGTAGATTCCACTACTCTGAGTTGATTACCATGGAGATGATTAACCAATCTTATCATTGGGGAATCAATACATCTAATTTCCCAGCCATACAAAACCAGGCCCAGTCAAGTTGACACATAATCTTAACTACCACATCTGGTTACAATGGAATTAAAATAGACATCAAAAGCAAAGATGATTTGAGAAATTCACAAACATGTGGAAATTAAATAACACTCTTCTTATGCATCAAAGAGTCAAAGAAGAAATCCTAAGGGAAATTATAAATGGTCCGACACAAATAGAAACAAAAAACACAACACTCCAAACTAGAGAAGGCTTTGAGGGAAATTAACAGCTACAAATGCCTATATTAAAAAAAAAAAAAAAAAAAGTTCCTCACATCTACAACTTTACTTTCCACCTTGAAAAACTAGAAAGATAAAAGCAAACTAGACCCAAAGCATGTAAAAGCAAGGAAATAATAAAGATTAGATGAGAGCTAAATAAAATCTAATTGCCCTGACACATACACTCTCACTCCCTCACTTCGTTTTTGCCACGTTAACAATTTTTTTTTTCCTCTTTTCCTATTCTTTTGACGTTCCATGCTATGTCCTTAGAACACTGAACTTGTTCTCTGCCTGGGAGTTTCTTTCCATGCCTGTGTCTCAATCTCTTAAAGTAATTTTTTACAGTCACTATCTTTTCTTCAAAACATGCATCATTACTGTCTATAACCTCTCTTATCTTTACATTTGTTTTTCACCTTCTACCTTCTATTTCCCCTATTGAAGCATAAGCTCCATAAGGACAAGTGCCTGCCTGTTTTGTTAACTGATTTATTCCCATTGCTTGAAAAGCATTTGACAAAGAATAATCACTTAATATGTACTTTTTTAATAAAGAAGAAACAGAGCAATAAAAATGAGTGTTAAGCAAAATGGATTATGTAACTAGTCAGCATTCTGGGTATACTATATCTTGTGTTATATTTTATCTTCATCTTTTTTAGAACAACAACATCTTGGAGATGCATGAAGATACCTTCTGCAATATTAAAAATTTGACTTACATTCGTAAGGCACTGGAGGACATTCGATTGGATGGAAACCCAATCAATCTCAGCAAAACTCCTCAAGCGTATATGTGTCTACCTCGTTTGCCAGTTGGTAGTCTTGTCTAATTTCAAATAATGGGTAGAATAATTATGTTGTTATGCAACAAAACAATTCTTACTGCTCCTTCAAAAATAAAACCTATCATGATACTTTCAAATTGCATTCCAAAACATGTTATCATTTTAAGATATGTTGACAATTTAGTGATCTAAGAAAATATCAGATGAGTTAGGAATATACCTACAAAATGTACAAAATGGTCAAAGCTCAATAATAAAAAAGTGCATAGATATAATTAAGAAATCATATATAACTTGTATGTTCTAGGCATCCTGATTCTATATAATTTTTAAACCAAATATATCAGAAATAAAAGTTTTAAAGTGAACACTGTTTCCAAGATGTAGTTGTTTTTAATTACACTTTTCTATTCTTTTTTTTTCACAAAAGCAGGTTCTTCTTTTCTTAATTCACTAAATAATGTGAAGAAAAGAACAAAAGTATTTGAAAATTACAATGGCCTTGCTGAGAAAATATTCACTGTAATCAAAATATGCCAATAACCATATCCAATAATACACATACACTTCAGTTTTTGAATGATAACATTTCCTCATCTTAAAAATCTGTTTATTTGTTTTAGATAAACTGACTAATTATCTGGTGCATTTCTGTGTCTGAAGAAAAAAAATATAGAAGGTGGTAAATAAAAATATGTTTGTTACACTAGGGAAGTAACTAAGCAATATCTTCTAAGGAGGGTTGATCCATTTAAAATACATGATCATAATACAGTATAAAACATAAGATAAGTTTCCTGCTAGCTCTACACTCCAAGTTCCACTGCCTAGATTCATCAGTTGCTTTCATATCTTCAGGAACTTTTTCAAGAAAACAAAAACATGCATGCAATTAATTTCTCCTCTTTTTTTTCACACACACACACACACACACACACACACAAACACATATATGTTGTATGCCTATACATATTACTATTATGCATGTGTTCTGGTTACCTAGTGCCACTCTGAAAGGAAGATACCACATATAGGATGGCTTAAAGAAACAGGAGGAGTTTATTATCTTACAGTTTGGAGTCTTTAAATGCAAGTTCGAAGTGCCAGGCTCCAGGGGCTGGGTGAAAGCCCCTCAACCTTGGGCTAGCTGTGCCTCCTGCTCCTGGCCCACTGAAGCTGGAGGCTTTTCTTCACTCAGCTGCTGGCTGCTGAGACTGACAAACTCAAGGCTGACAGTAAAAAGGTACAGTCCTGATGTTAGCAAACCACATGGCAGTCATTAATTTAAGTCCACTGAAAGTCCCAAGGTTAGCAGAGCATGACAGGCTGCTGAACAGTGACACAGCTACATGAAGGGTTCAAGCATGCCATAAGCTAGAGACTGTTCCCCAAGGCTTCTTCTTATATATAGGAAGCAGAGCACATCCCTAAGGCAGTTACCCAGCTGCTCACAGTAGATTCCACATGGAGTTGATAACCAGTCTCATCATGGGGAATACTACGTCCAGCTGCCCAGCCACTCACCCAGGCCCAGCTAAATTGACACATAAATTGAGCTACCATAGCATGTATTTGTACATGTAAAAAGGAGTTTGGTGGCATAGTTCCTAAGGCATTTGACTGCGAATCAGGTTGGCAGTTCAAACCCACCAGCCACTAATTCCACAGAAGGAAAACTAGGCAACCTACTTCCATAAAGATTTACCACTTCAGAAACACAAAGGGGGTCTCTATGAGTTAAAATTGATTCAGTGGCAGTGAGTTTGTGTTTTAGGCATGTAAATATGAGTTTTAAAATACAAAAGGTAATCACTATTATCAGCCACGTTTGTCTCACTTAATTTTTTTTCCTGATCTTTCTATATCTGTATATACATCTCTACTGATTCAGAAACCATGTACCAGAACATGACAAGAGTGCCCATTTTACTTTTTGTATTTACAAAAATCCTTGCATGAACATACATACCTTTGTGTACATGTGAGAGTATATTTATTTATGAATTCTTAGAAATAGAATGCTGAGTCAAAGAGTGTTGTTGTTGTTATGTGCCGTCAAGTCAGACCTGACTCATAGCGACCCCTCCTTGGGTTTCTGAGGCAGTATGACTACAGAAGTAGATTGCCCCATCTTCCTTCCGAGGAGTGGCTGGTGGGTTTGAACCACCAGCCTTCTGGTTAGCAGTCAAGTGCCTTAGGCACTACACTACTATCATTTTAAATTTTAATGAATGTTATTAAGTTGCCCTTAAAAATGTTAAATCTACCAATATTCTCACCACGGTGTAGGAGAGTACATTATTAACCTCCCCAAAAAAGGCACAATATGAAATTTTCATCATCACATAGTTTATTTCTGAATTAATATATTAAAATATCAAAGTGAGACAATTATTTTGCAATACCCTTGCGACATTTAAACATTACAGGATGTATTTTTATTTTCAACTCCATCATCTTTCAAGCAAATATTTTTCTTAGTCCAACTGGTTTTGTTTTCTCATTGCTCCACACCATTCTCTATATATCACCATTTGTAGACATGATTGCTATAACCAGAAGTTCTGTAATGTAGCAATTGTTCTAATGTGTCTCTGCTTTAGATATGTGAGCATTTTCTCATTTCAATTTTTTTAAAAACACACACCAATAGATCTGAATGATGAAAAATCTATATTACTTTGTTTAAGACACATAGAAAACAACTAATCATGTATTTAATCAGAATTTGTACACCCCAACATTTGATAAGCATAAAAACTAGGTATGAACTGTCACAAACTAGTGATATTTAAACACTGATGGAGTTTTTCTTTGACTTTTCAAATACACTCCCTCATAACTGCATTATTGTGAATCACACTAAAAATGGAATTTCATTTGAACATGATATTGCTATACAGTTTTCTACCACTGCCTAATAAAAAAACCAGTGGCTCAAAAAACAAAAGAAACAAACAAAAAATACCCATATATTATCTCACTGTTTCTATATACATGTTCACATGGGTCATCTGGTTCTATGCTTAGGATTTCATAAGAGTGAAATCAAGATGTTGACTGGCTAAGTCTTCCCTGGATGAGAATCCAATTCCAGTATCATTCCATTATTTATTTATTTATTTATTTAGAGAATCCAATTTGCTTTGGTTGTAAAACTGAGGTCCACGTTTCCTCAGTGTCAGCCAGGGGACATTCTCATGGTCTACAAGATGGCCACGTGTCTCATCGTGTGGCCCTTTTATCTTCAAAGCCAACTCTGGTGTGCCAAATCTCCTTCCAATCCCTCTAACTTTCCCTTCTGTGATCGAGAGAAAATATTCTGCTTTTAAAGCACTCATTTGATAGAGTAAGGAAGGATAACCTTCCTATTGTAATGTCAATTGACTTGAAACTCTAATTGCAGCTGCAAAATATTTTCACAGCAGTATCTATGTTAGTGTTTAGTTCAGTAACTAGAATTCAGGAATATTGGGGAATCATACTAAACTTCTGCCTACTATAATCTCCAAATACTAGCAGTATTAAGAAAATGGTGACTCACTATGTTGTTGTTAGTTGTTACGTGCCATCGAGTCGTTTCGATCCATAGCGACTCCATGCACAGCAGAACGAAACACTGCCTGATCCCGCACCAGCTCCACAATTCCTGCTATACTTGAGCCCATCATCGCAGCCACCGTGTCAATCCATCTTGTTGAAGGCCTCCCCCTCTTTCATCGACCCTCCACACTACCAAG